ATGTAATTGTAAAAAACGCAAAAACACCCATAAAAACTGCAAAACATAAAATGTGAAACCGCAAGTTTGCATGTATCTCTGCATGTACCAAACAAACCTTCATACCAAATTTGGTAAAGATCTATAAACAGGGAGCAACGTAGTGGAAAAACTGAAAATTTGTATCTACTCCCGCATGGACCTAATGAGCCTCCATACCAATTTTGGTAAAGATCCATCCACACCCTGCGAAGTAGTTACATGGACATACAACGGATAGTACTATTATATTTATATATACAGAGACATCTCAAAAGTAAATAGACACCATGATGTTTATTGAATAGTTATTTAATTAAGAAAGACATCCAACGGCTCCAATTGGCTAAGTCAGTCACCTGATACGAACCCCATCGAGCACGTCTGGGCCATACTTGCTCGAGCAGTGAGAAGAAGTTCCAGAAAACCAGCGTCCCGTGGTTGATGTTTAGCGTGCAGCCTGGGTCAAGATCCTACAGATTCCATGTCAAAACACTGAAAGATGCTAGTGTCAAATCGACTAGGTACTGATGCACATTTTTGTCAAGTTGATAATATGAGATGAATGACTATTGAGAAATATTGTGGTGTCTGTTTACTTTTGAGATGTCTCTGTAATAGATTGGCCACCATTAGTGGTTTCCCGGCTTACCGCAACGCATGTGTGGCGCTTTAAACACTGCATGTTTTCCAGCCTCACTCTACTGTATTCTCTAGGTTGTGTATGTTTATCGAGATTTCATTTACCTATTTTGCCCCCAAAATGTTGAAAAGGCCAATAACGAGTTCTGGGGATGCCTGATGAGTGGAGAGGAAGCATTTTTCCCTCAGTATTTAACAATAAGTTGAGCTACTGATGAAAATGGACAAGTGATGAGTATGGTGTTGGAATATCGACGATCTATGACCTCAAGAAACAAGAGGAACGTTTACTTAAGACTTATACCAAAAGTGATATGTTACATTTCATGGATAACAAGAAACTACGGTATCATTTAAAGGCAGTTGAGTAAAGTGGATCAGACAGCGTCGAAGTGAGAATTTTTCATTGTATCATACTGTTATGATGGCACAAGCAAAGTCGTTTCACGACGAGTTAGGCCTAACAACTCTGCGTGAATATTCGTCCGGGTGGTACAGTAAGTTTAAGGCCTACGTTTGTTGAAGTTGTGTAGCGAAAAAAAGACTCGGCCGACGATGAAACCGCTGAGGCGTTTATAGAAAAATTTGCAAAATTAGTTTTAGATGAACAATTAACGCCAGATCAGGTATATATTACGGATGAGATGTCGCTATTTTTGGAGGTACACCCCCCAAGAAAACCGACCTAATAGCAGTAGGTTTCAAAACTTCTAGGAAACGACTTACTGTGCTCTCTTGTGCTGATGTGTCTGGCACACACAAGTGCAAATTGTGAATTATTTAAAAGAGTCAGAAGCTAAGGGCCTATAATGGGATCGAGGTTTTCCACGTGCATTATAAGGACAATAAAAGAGCATAAATTACGTCGCCAATATTTATCGAAAAATAATTTCATACCTGATGCAAGCTTGGGCTCATTGCCAGGCTGCCAGATTATTTCAAGATAATTTTATTGCTGGATAACTGTTCTGCAGAACTACCCGTCAAAGACAACGTTTTTGAAATTTATTTGCCGTCTAATTGTACACCCCTAATACAACCCCCTGGATGAGGGCATTCTTCGTTCCTTCAAGTATAGATAAAAAGACGAATTTATGTGTAAAATGCTTAATACATTCAATAATGACATGAGAATTAAGGCATTCCAAACATAATTTACAATTAAGAATGTGATATGAAGAGCTAAAAAGGCATGGGATGGTGTGCCCCAGGACATTTTGCGAAATGGGTGACATATATTATGGCCTTCTATGCTAATTTTTAGACAATGAAGATGACATTATCACAGATTTCAGTGGTTTTCGTGTTTCCCAAGAAAAACAAAACAAAAAAACGTGAGTGATTTGTTGAAATGTGCAAAAGGCCTAACATGTGACGAAGCTAAACTGCTAGATGAAGAAGCAATTGAAGAATGTTTAAATGTAATGATGATGCCCCAGTTGTTCTTCAACTCACAGACAGTGAAGTTGTTGACATGGTGATGCATGTAACTACAGCCGACGATCCTAAGCCTTTAACTTCAAGCAACACGTAATCTCACAGAATAAGATAATAAGAGGCCATACTTTGTTAGCGGGAAAAAAGGAAATTATATTGGTAAGTATCGGAATACCTAAGTATATATTTCTTAATCTGTGTATTTTTCTATTATTTTGTATCATTGTACTACAGTATATTTCTGAGACATGTAAATATATAGATGGCTTAGTACAGGGACCCGAAATCTGGAAAAATCCCCCAAACCGGCTAGCCTAATATCCCAAGCTTGCCGGATTAGGGGTTTTATACCTGTGTAACATTACAGCGACAGTGTCTTATACTATATTATAAAAATTAATGTTTTGTACTACAAGAAACAATAATGTTTTTTATTACATTATAACTGTAATATAATAATAATAATGACTTATACTACATTAAACATGTTTCGAAAAAAGAAGCTTGAAATACTTGAAAACTTTGTTTGATAAAAACTGTCCCAGATAACGTGTCCGTATATTTTAAATGTAGATTAACACCATTATAGTCGTATCGTTAAGTTGTTTATTTTGGTGAATACAGTAAATTAACACGAAGAAAACAACTTGCTTCAACTGATGACTTTACCTGTGAAAATTATGGTGATACTTGTTATAACTTCCAAGGGCAACATTAGCACCTATACCGATCCCATATGAAAAAAGAACCTGGGTTCCTGCTTTCACCCACACCTGAAAGAGAAACGAGGATTCGCCCTCGGGAGTTTTTCAACAGTTTCTATGTAAACAGTAAACATATGTCTCACTACAATACAAACAGAAAATATTTTTCCTAGAACATTATCTTTAGACTAATAACACCGATCTCTGTCTAGTTAGAAGAAACGCTGTTTTATTTAATGTGACAGACATAGAACCCGTGGCGGCGATGTAAGCTTTATAGCTTAAAATGCTGAAATTTGGAGTTGGATCCCCGCGGAGAAATTTGGATTTAGATCCATTGTGCAGCTTTGTGTTTAAGTAATCGACAGACACGTGAAAGCGAAATTTCGAACTTATGCTCGCTGTCGGTAGAGGTCGTTTAATTTAGTATCGTTTTATTAGTTATGTCTCGTGAACAACTCCAGCATTAGATATACAAGGTTACATTTAGAATATTCCAGTAATAGTACACCCAGCTATGTGTATGTGTAAACTTAAACAACAAATAAGTTTAGAATATTGTTAATAACTTCTTACATTGTTGGTATTTCGAAACGTAGATAAATACTTGCTTTGGCAATCAACAATTTAACATAAATTTACTTATTGTTGAGTGCATCAGTCAAATGTTTAACAGAAGTATACGTCAAGTAAACGTTTTACACAAATTAATTCTGAACTAAGCCTAATTTCAAGTAATTTGGTGATCCCTACCTGCGGGTCGGTGAGTTTATCAAACTCTGGTTTGACGTAATATATTAATCCTTTCGATGCTCCCTCTAGTGTTATTCCACGACCAAACAAGACCAGCAAAAGGACGTACGGAAATAAAGCGGTGAACCAGATGATCTAGAGAAACAATGAGGCAATAAAAACCTGATTATTTTATATTAAAAACGGTGAGGTAATAAAACATTATTGTGTATTATAAATGATATTTAATATTTAAACTATAAGGTAAGAAGAACAGTTTTCATTTATATTAAAAACGACAACATAATTCGAAAAATTTTAATTTGTATTAAAAAAGATGCCCCCCCCAATGGCACAGCGGTATACCTGCGGACTTGCACCGCTAGAAATCGGGTTTAGATAATTTCAAACAAACAAATAAATAAATTAAAAATGAGGAACTAATAAGAATAAGTTTGTTTCATATTAACAACTATAAAGTAACAAGATGAGCTGTTTTGTATTAAAAAGGGTTAAGGTTATAACGTATAACGTAAATTAATTATAACGTCCTAGCTTTAATATTGATAAAACGATTTGTATATAAATCGGTAGATAGCTGTGGAATGAGTTGAAATTTTCGACAGTTACTATTATCAGCCTAGCCTCATTCTCCTTCAGTCAATATTTTTATACATCATTAGTACCTGACAGTCTTGAAACACTAACGTCGTCATTAATACAATGAGTTAGTCGCCTCCTTATTATGCTACAACTGTATTCTGTAATTGAATTTTGCTGTTTATTTTATGCCTTACCTTCCCGCTCTGGTGTAGTCCTCTCCAGATCACCATGTAGACTAAAACCCAAGCCAGCAGCAGCAACAGAACCAATTCCATTCTTACACTGCCTATATCGTGAATTCCAGCAGTTAAGCCTAACACCTGGTTACTGAAAGAATTACAAAACAAAACATAATCTCGTGGAGGTAACTTAACCCTTGAAAGTACAGTCAGTTGATTTACAAATACTGAATTATCGTTACAATTTTAAAATATACAAAGTATGAATAAACCAGCCAATGGAAGAATGAATGTAGTGGGTATATGAATAAACCAGCCAATGGAAGAATGAATGTAGTGGGTATATGAATAAACCAGCCAATGGAAGAACGGATATAGTGGGTATATGAATAAACCAGCCAATGGAAGAATGGATGTAGAAGATGTATGTATAAACCAGCCAATGGAAGAACGGATATAGTGGGTGTATGAATAAACCAGCCAATGGAAGAACGGATATAGTGGGTATATGAATAAACCAGCCAATGGAAGAACGGATATAGTAGGTATATGAATAAACCAGCCAATAGAAGAATGGATGTAGAAGATGTATGTATAAACCAGCCAATGGAAGAACGGATATAGTGGGTGTATGAATAAACCAGCCAATGGAAAAATGGATGTAGAAAATGTATGTATAAACCAGCAATTGGGAAGATGGACATGGTGATCTATGAAAAAATCGATTAATAGAAGGACAAGTATATGAAAGAAAGAATAATTTAGAATAAATTATAAAATATATAAAATAAAAGAATCACTTGACATAAATATGGAAAACAAAGAAAGATAATCCCATAAGTTGAGTGAAGGATCAACAAATGATGGTGAATCGATGAAAGACAGAAATGATAAGTAAATATGAAAATCATTTAAAGACGATAAGAATTAAGATGATTGTTAAAAACAAAAATACATGATAATCAGTTGAGAACTGTGGTTTCTGGACTCGACTCTCATCAGACCAGATACGTCGATAGTAATGTTAGGTTAGATTAGACATACAGTTCCTTGGAAAAGTATTCTCCCTCTATAAATAATGTCACATTTTTATGAAATACAAATATAGTAAACAAGTATTTAATGAACTTGTTTTTATTCAAAACCCTAATTATCAAACTTAACATTGTTATGTGTGAAGGAAGTTGAATGTTAGCTG